ATAATAATGTGTGCATTCACATCCCAATTTTTATTATAATAATTTTTTATTTGGTTTAAGCAGATATTTTTTCCTGAAGAAAGCATTTTTTTTATTTACAGCCTTTTTTACATATTTTTAACAAATAAAAAAAAAACACATTTTGTTTTGCGCCTGAGGGGCTGTGAAATGCGTCAAATTAAGAGAAGATTTGAACACTTTTGTCTCACCTTTTCTATAAAGCAGCTGATTATGTCAAACTAAAGGTTTTATCCTGATCTGCGTCATTTCTTTAAAAAAGAAAACAATGTGAAGAAACCACTCCTGTCAAACTGCGCAGCAATAAGCCTCCAATAAAACCACGTGTTTTATGGCTTCAGAATCATCTTCTCGCCGCAATTAGTTCGTCATATATTATCATTAGAAGTCTATTAAAACATCAAGTCATTATTTGAGCATCCCCGGGCGGGGAATTAAAGAAAACTATCTTTGGCCCCACACGGGTCCCATTTAGATTAATGGAAAAATATGTAAAACATTTCGTTTTAATTTTCCTCCGACCGTGTTTTGCATACATGTTATTTTTTTTCCAACCCCATTTCCCGCCTGCGCCACGTCCCTCATTATTTATGAAAGCAATATAAACCAAAAAAAGAAAAAAAAAAAAAGAAAAGAAAAGAAAGGAGCAGTACCGAGCTGTGAAACGACTCTCTGCAGCCTAATTGATTTGATTCCCGTCACAATTTTGTGCTCTTATAATCCTGTTAATTGTAATTTAACCTMTCGGGGAATATGCCAGAGAAATGTGTTTAAATCAAATAGGAGATTTTAATTTTGGTTTCTTTTTGCCATTTTTTAAATGAAAATAAAAACATCAGATTTTTCTGATTATTTTACTGGCTTTTGTCTTTTTAAAAAATATTTAATTTTAAATTTCATAGATGCAAACAAAGCTGAACAAAAACTAAAGCCTATATTTTAAGTGTTCACTGTAAGGGTTAAAAACATGGTRTCCAAAGGTTTCCTGAAGAATGCAACATATTTTCCTGTTCCTTCTCAGAAAAAAAAAAAGTTGATTTTTGTCTCTGCTTGATGCCCCAGCTCTGCCTCCTCCTCTGCTCTGAGATCTTCCTTCCTGTCGGCAGGGGGGCTGGGGCGTGGTGGTGGTGGGGGGCACCTGTTGCAGCTTGGAGACTCAAGTTGTCCCATCAGATTGTTCTCCTTCAGAGCTAAAGTCGCTCATCATGCTCTGGCAGAGCGTCTGCGCTTCAGGAGCCGAGAGAAGCCCACCGTCACTGACTTTCTGTGGTCTTTAGAAGGCTCTTCCCCACCACTGACACATGCAGGTGTTTTCATTTAGAAGGGAACGGTTTGATTAAACAAGCATTTCAACACTGAGGAACTTCATACAAGTCATCTTTACTTCTGATTGCACCGATTCATTAAATCGCAACAATTCTCTCCTGCAACTAATAGTTTCATAGTTACAAACTTTCCAAGTGTACACAAAACAAAACTTGGACTGGACAGAATGAAAAAAAAGTGCATTTCAAACAGGGTCAACAATACAAAAAAACATGCATTTATCAAGGAAACGAGAACAAAAACTGTTCTATCCTCATTATTTTCTCACAGCGCCGCCTTAATACATATTTACATGTAGTTTAATAATTTTTGGAATGTTTTTCAATTTGAATTTGCATCTAATTGTTTATCCATATTACAAATCTGCAAAGTCTCACCATAAAGCACGACATAAATCATATTTTTGCGTTTATTCAATGAAAGTTAGAAACGTATGGTTTTATAAACTGACCAACAGTGTGTGCTCAAGGCAGAAACGGTGTTGGGAGACGTACCAGATGCCAAAGAGTCGGCTTACTGTCGGGGTGTTTGGCTGGACTCAGGGGTGGCTTCTGTCTTTCCTTTTTTTTTTTTTTTTTTTTTTTT